AAAGCTAATAATTTTTGAAAATCATTATTATTTAAGCAACTATGAAACTTGTTCGATCGCATGAAATATATGCTTTATAAATATACCGAATGCTGCAGCGAAATACTATATGAAAAAAATTTATTGTTTTATCATTCCTCCAAAATTTAAACACGAAAGAAAAAATTACATAAAAGGTTGTTGTAAACCAAGACTTACATATTTTTGCCAAGCATTGATTTGAACAACTTGGTTTTTTTCGTCTACGTCAACAATAGCTTGCAGATACAACTTCATCTTCACCAACAACGCATGACTAGCGTTATTGACAGGTCTCTCCAAATGGTTGTAGTTTGTGAGTAGATCAGTATACAGACGATTTTCATCACTGCTTGCCCTGGCAAAACCAATACAACAAAAAACAATGCAACTAAGGTGTTTTTTGCAAACGATCATTAAATTACTAATAATCCGAGCAGCATTTGCTCTAAACAGCCAAAGATTTTTCTCTGTGTAGTAGGTAACTGCTCCACAGCAGCAAGACACCGCAGAACACCGACAATGCAAACAGATGCAGCCAAAAGAACTGGCTTTCTGGACTGTGGAAGCAAAAATTTTTTTGCTTCCCGCAACTCTGTTATGTTGTCAAAAAAGCCGACAATGTAAATATTCAAAGAATTAACCGACCATTTTACTGCAGACTTGTCGAGCCGTTTAAATGATAATTGATGCCTTAACTTAAGGTTTGATATCTAAGCGATGAGCAGTATTTTATGTTACATTTTGATCAATTTATGTCATTAGCAAATTTAATATATAGTTGGTGAATTTGATAAAAACTAAAGCAAACGGTTATAAATATAAAACAAACGTAGTTCTAGTTTGTTAAGGCTGTTAAACCTAATGCAGGATAATTTCAAAAATGGAAGTTATCTCAAATGATTTAAATAGAAAAAGAAAAATTAGATTTTCTTCTTCTACTGCAACTTTTTATTAAAATTAATATGTCATATAGTTCTATAAAAGTTTTCTGCTCCTAACACGTCCAAGCTTTGGATATGTTGACAAAATTATCATTAAAATTTTGACTGCAATCAACCATTTGATTTAACATTTTATATCAAATCCCTATGCACCACAAAAACTTTTACCCTTCAATACGTAAATCTTTTATTCACACTAAAATAGATCCTATCTTCCTGATCTAAAGAGGTCTAGTAAGATGACCAAAACTTAGGTTAAAACGTTGCCCGAGTACTACAAATGTAGATTTTGTTCATAAAAAACTCTTTGGCATGCATATTGTAAAGATTTTAAAACATTAACGAAGGATTGTTAAGAAACTATAGGTCAAGAGTTCAATAAAATAACCAGTTAAAATTGAAACACGAAGGGAATTCTAGAGCAAACAAAAAACTCAAAGGCAATTAACATAAAACCAAAAAAAAAATTTATGACGGTAATACGTCCAAAAATCGTCAAAAACACTTTTGAAGAGACATCTTGTACAATGAAAACCGATGTTTAAAAAATTTATAGGCAACTGAAAACAACACCAATCAACACCGTGGAAAAGGAAGTTGACATTCTCTAACAAAAATAAATATCATTATTTGAACTAAGACAGGAGAGGCACAAATTAGCAAACTAATTATTTCTTTTTCTGGCCTTTAAGAAACCATAACCAAGAAGATGATAAGATAGAACAGATACATAAGAGATCAAAAAAAGCTGTTTCTACTGCCTGTCTTCCAGCAGCAATTTCTCCAAAGCAACAAATTTGAAGTCCGCTAAGTTTCGCAGCGCAGAACCAGCGCATTTTCTGAAAGACTTCTACTAGACTCTATGAAAGATATCAAAAAAGCAGAACAATTTGTAACTTTTTAAAAATTTCTTACTTTTTGAAAACTCTAACTTCCCGTCACTCTTTCAAAACAACGCTCAGGTTCTTTTACAAAGCAAGGCGTACTGGAGGAGAGTTAAAAATTTAATTAAACTTTTGCCCGTGTTTTGCTAATCCTAGTCAAAAAAAAATTTTTGGTTCCAATGTCTGCATATGCATTAGTAATCCAAATACTGCATTCCGAATTATTACTAACATTTATTTTCACTCCTAATAAACACTTTAAGATACTGCTGCAGAACAGTCGATATGATTTATCCACTGTGAATCACTTTTCTAATCTTTTCAGCATAAAATTTCAAAAACTTTAAACTTACCTTGACTATTGCAGCACTTAAAAGCAAACACAGTTTGCTCCATGCAAACTAATTTTTCAACACAGCATTTGTTTAACACTGCTTATTTAAGAGACTGTTTCAAATTTGAAACAGGATTATACTTTTACAACTTCATGTCTCCAACCTTCTTAATCAAATCTATAATCTCCTAAGGCTCAAAGCAAACAGCTTTCAAAATCAAATGATATGTTAGAAACACATGAAGAAACCACTCGGAGAATAAATAAAGTCTGCAGTGAACGCTCATTTACGTTTGACCATTTTAGCAGATAAATTGTTCATACTCGAATAATGAACAACCAAGAACGTTATAAAATAATAAAATAATAAAAAAAAATTAATAATTCGAATACTGCAATCCGAATTACTATCAACATTCCTTTAGATATTCAAGTTTTTTTTCATATTCTGTAAGAACAACAAAACCGATCATCAATATAGAAAGTCAAGCGTATAGAACAAAAAGCTAGAGTACAACTCATACATCTGCAAAACTTCACGTCCGACGAAGGTTTTTTTGCCAAATTCCCTACTGGTTAACGACATGACAATATCCTTAGCAAAGTTTAGCCACGCTTCCTTGACTTGTTCAGATTTTCCTTTCTAGCCTACTACAAACTGGCCCTCTAAATTATCAAAAAGTTTAACAGATGCCAAAAAAAACCAACGACTTCAAGTGAAAATGAAAATGCCTTCGCCATGTTGCCATGTAAGGAAAATTTAACTTCCGGCCACACTTTTCAGTAAAAAAGTTACTCGTTCTTCACATGTTAACTACACCACTTTTTACCGGAAGCCAGTTCCATTTAACCACAATAACGGCCATATTAAAAATAGTGAAAAGCCCAACGCCCAACGTTGTTTATGCGGTTACCAGAGGAACCATATATGAGTGACAATTTTACAGTAACAACCACTAACAAAATCTAACAACTAAATTTACTCTTGTAGTTCAGAAAATTTTCGGAACTTCTAAAAA